TAGAAAATAGGTGGCGTCACACTAGTCATGTGACTTCGCTGACGCAACAATATTAAAACAAGTCAAACGTTTGTATAAATGTTCGTTACACTGTTGGTTACTAAGTGTAGTGCCTTCTTATAATAAAACGTACATATATATATATATATATGTTAATTTAATTCTATATCCCTTTGCAGTGTTACAACAAAATTATGGTTTATCGAATTTCATTGGATGTTTGTGGACTTTATGTGAACAGCCAAGCAAACTATTTAAGCTATATTTCATGCAATATTGTTTCCAGGTTTAACCCCATAGCACTTATTTTTTACACATTTTCGGGGGGGGGCATGCTCCCAGACTTCCATAGCATTATCGCGCTTTGCATTCTGATTGTGCTTCGCACAATATGTGTTGGCTTTGATCTCACAAATTAGAACCGCCATTCCAAACATTCTGCAGACAGGTCTGTAAGTTGTTCTTTTTCTGTGTAAAATACATAGGGAACCAAGCAGTAATTAATGCGATTAATGGTAATGCTGATGCCATTTTTGTATATTTTGAAGTAGTTTGTTTGTGGTTAAACACAAAGCTTCACAATGCTCTATCCGCGCTCTGCCTGCCACAGGTATCGAAACCCGGTTTTTAGCGTTGTAAGTCCGCAGACATGCCGCTGTGCCATTGGGGGGGGGGCTTTTGATTGTTGGGCGGGTTATTTTGAATTATTTGATAAAAATTATGCGAAATACAGTACAAGTCCCGAACTAACGATAAAGAATCATTTTATTTCTTCTATGACATTTGATACAGACTACGTTCCTTTTTGCCATAAGTGATAGGCCTAGGTTCACAAACAACGTTTTAACAAAAATTCCTCCCAAATGGTACCTACTGTTAACTTACTTAGCTTTGATCGATAAACAAATACCTTACCTCGTAACTGGATAGTAAAATAGATGCGATAACTCTCGCTAAATTAACGCTGAACTGAAATACTTTTGACTTCCTATTGTTCATTAATCATATTTATTGTGTACAATTTTTTCTAGATATTGGACGTACCTCAATTCTTAACTTTCATGATATTTTTAGTTCTGAACTTCATCATAAGATCAAGCCCTCTAGAAAACATCTAAATTAAAATGTTGAAAATGTGTGTTACAACACTGCCCTCTTCATGGATTGTGAAGTCCCTTGAACAATCATTATACACAAAAAACAGTACACCAAACTTTCCATTCATCAAGTCTTTTTGGTGGTTTCCTTCTCCAATGGTTATGATATGCAGAGGGAATGACATATTGTTCCTTATTGTAACGTGCTATCCTGTCACTGAGAAAGTTCTTCCTGGTTAGGTGGTCAAGCAATTCCACTGATGGCTCTATCTTAGATGATCTTCTGAAAGCGGTCTCAACAAGACCATGGGCTCTTCGGCAGGTTGACTTTCTGCAGGTATATTCGTCTCTGAAATTACTCAGTTGATCATTTTCTTACTGATATGCTTCCAAATATTATCATATTGAATGGCTTTGACTTGAACTGTCTGTCCTACTGGATTCTGTAAACCATATTATTGTTTATTTTCAGTACAATTTAGTTAACTTTGGGGTTCTCCCTTTCTTACGACGAGAATTGTTCAGACATACTATGTCTTATTAGCATTAACATCTTATCACAAGTTGATTTAAATCATTCCTAAGTAAAGTTAGGTATGACGTATTTATTATTCAAATCCACGAGAGTTCTTCCAACCTATAATCCCTCAAGGCATGCCGGAGTGTTCGGTTCTACTACACTCCAGTCACTAGAAGTAAATTTGTTCCTAATAAGTCCTAGTATGAGTACTTTACTATTTGGTGGTACAACAGCTGCCCTTCTTTGTGCCACTGGAAGTTAAACCTCTGGCATAGTAATTGTCATGTGGTGCATAAAATTTCTTAGCCATAAAGTGGGAAGCTATTTGATGCTAACCTAATCTCGGATGAAGTCAGTTCCCAATATGCACTCTTCCTTGATGTCAATCATTCACACGCCATTAGGTGTGGAGAAGCTTCCTACTGTAAGGGTAACTTCCAACTTTCCTTATACTGGAAGTTTATGTCTATTTGCTGTTTGTGTTATTCCACCTTATTTCATCATTGCTGGAAGCAATTTCTAACTTTTTATTACCAAACTGTACCAAACTATTGTTGTTGCAGAACAAGGTCGATCAAAATACTATTAGTCCAACTAATTCCCGTGTCCACATTTCTGGTTAGCCCTTTGTTGTTGAGCTCGAAGATTCATCCTAAGGATACTGTCTCCTTGTTATTTTAACAGCTGCTAGTTTCTCATAGTCTTGGTTGTAATGACCAAGTTT